TATATATCCTATTCTCATGCATGTGCGCAGGGAAATAAAAAAATTTGCACATACCTCTATTTTTTTATCTCGCCTCACCTAAAAAGAATTAAAAAAGCTATCCTAAAATCATATCCCGTTAAACCCACGCGTGAGCTCTCTCCCCATTACCTCTTCCGCCCCGCAGTGTTTCCTCGAGCCACAAACTCCCTTCTCCTTCTCATGAACTGCTCCTACATTGTCAGCGAAGAACGGCGAGCCTCGTCTCCGTCCCGCCAACCCCGGCCACCGGCACGCCCCCCTCCCCTCGTCTCCCACGACCCCATCTGCTTCCTCTCTGGTTCTCGCGAAGCCTGCCCAGCCTCCTCCTCATGTTCGATGCCGAAGCTCCTCGTCGGCGATGCTCTTCGCCGCCGGCTCCCCTCCGGCCACCGAAGCTCCTCCAACTACCGGCCGAGCATTTCTTCTGCTCCTTGACCAGCATAATCCTTAACGTAGCCAGTTGTCTGACCACCTTCGCCGGATCTCCTTTTCGTCGGTCATCTGCCGCCTCCAGCAGGCCGTCCGCCCCCTCAACATCCTCCACTCAACCCTGATCCTTCCATTTGAGGTGAGGCCCTAGGGGACCGAGCCTACACTTCCTCCCTTTCACGGGGCGATCTTCAAGACGATGTTTGCTCCTCTCAACTCAGGGCACCGGCAACCTCGTCGGCATGCTCTCTTTCAGCTGGAAGCCGCACCAGAGAAGCGATCACTTGCAGAACGGCGACGACATTGCGACATATGGAAGCCCGTCAACCTCTCACCATGGTGCATTTTGGTGGTATTTTCATACACTATGATGATTTATTTCAGATACTTGCATAACACAATTATTTCCTGTTTTCTCAGTGTTTTGTTGCGAGATTTGTCGAAAAGTGGACATCACTCACGTGTTGGCTCTTTTGTTTGCGTGGCTTGTTGCGAGATACGTCGGTCGTGCACTCTCTTGCTCTCACTACCTCCTATCTTTCTCGTTGCATGGCTAATTGCGAGACAAACTGGCGCACATAGCGGACACCGGACGTCGACAGCTTGGAGCAAGCAAAGAAAATGTGTCTGCAACCGTCACGGTGATGAGATCTCCTAACTCCTAGCTGACCCTAGGATTTAGTGGTGTCTAGACGTGTAGGTTCGATCGTTCACACGGGGTACATGCGCCGGCTCCGGCACAACAAAGTACTTATGTAATTGATTGTTGATTTACCTAGAACTAGCCTTTAGGTTAGGACTTCGTGTGCGTGGCCAAACAACCCATACGAAGCTAATTGATTCCCTTTTTGTGAGCTTTAAGTCTTAACTCTGCCAGGTCGGAATCCCAATTTCTCATGGTTTTGACGCTCCTAATCTCTCTTAGAGGGATTAGTTGAGTTTGATCTTAAAAGACGGGAAAAACTTTATAGCTAGTTCATCTTATAAGATCGTCGATGTTCGTAGAGCGGAAAAAGCTTTGTAGTCAGTCTGGTGGAGTTTCCCCTAAGAGAAATCGGAGGGGGAAACCCTCTACACTGCCACGCCAAAGCCGAAGGCAGTGATGTCGCAGATCCAAGTGCGCCAGCCCTAAGTACCTATGCGAGGTCGTTAGGACGAGTTCGACGTGGCGTATAGACCATTTGATGAATTTTGGTGCGTTGATCATATTGCATGTCATATGCACGATCACTTGATCACTTTGGTACTTAGAAGACGGGAAAAACTTTATAGTTAGTTCATCCTATAAGATCGTCGATGTTCGTAGAGCGGAAAAAGCTTTGTAGTCAGTCTGGTGGAGTTTCACCTAAGAGAAATCGGAAGGGGAAACCCTCTACACTGGCACGCCAAAGCCGAAGGCAGTGATGTCGCAGATCCAAGTGTGTCAGCCCTAAGTACCTATGCGAGGTCGTTAGGACGAGTTCGACGTGTCGTTGAGCGGTTAGGTTTCATTGTATGTTTATAGACCATTTGATGCATTTTTGTGTGTTGATTATATTGAATGTCATATGCACGATCACTTGATCACTTTGATTCGACCAACCACCACGTTTCGTTCAACCGATCACTTGCATCATAATGCATGTTATGCATGATCACATTGCATGTCTGCTTGTTCGCATCTGTACTAGATAAGTGCTTACATTTTGCATTTGCATTGGTGTGATTCTCATCAGTGAGGATCACCACTCTCACCTTCGAATCATTGTCTCCTCAGCATACCCATTCGTTCGGGCCGTTGCCATCACAAGATGCCCATCTCTGAGTCACTACCTCCTCTGCATACTCACCTTTTAGGCCGCTGCTGCTACGGCATGCCCACTCTTTTTGAGTCATCGTCGTCACAGCATACTCGCTTTCACCACATGGAGTTGAAAAAAAAATTATTTTAAATATAATAAATTACTTTAATACTATATTCCTTTAACAATAGAACAATTTTTTAGCAAGTCAAACACCCCCTTATTACCTCGTATGAAATAGAAATATGATAATAACTAATTTCAAATGAATATGATTAGTAACTATGTATAATTTACACTTGTTCACTGATAAAAAATTAGAATTCATTTCATAAAAAATATTATTAAACCAATTTTTTATAAAATTTAAATATGATCGTAGTAAATTATTAATTTGGAATTTAATCTTAATTCATTCGAAAAAATAAATAAGTGCGATTAAAAATATATTAATATACAATCTAACCTGAATAATTTACTCTAAACAAAAAACAAAACCCTGAAAAATCTTTGGCATCAACTGTTGCCTTCCTCAACACTTGAAAAACTGAATGCAAATCGAAATGCAGGAGAGAGAGGGAAGATAAGAGGAATAAAGGGAGAAGATGTCTATTGATTTAGATTTTTATAACCCATTTTAGATAGAGCTCCAAGCCTCCAACGCTTTCCAAAAGAGTATGCAGCATGCATTGACTACAAGTGTTGGAATGAAACGCCTACTTCAGTATATATATATATATATAAAGTAGATTATGCAACTATAAATATTAAATTGCATCAGCAGTCAGCATGAAAAATATCACAAGCTTCACAATATATTAAAATTAAAATAAGAGCAGTATAGAGTAAAAACCCAAGAAAGCATCTTCATTTTTCAAATAAGAAGGTACCTGAATGAGGCTGATTCTGCTAAACAATGGCCAGATCTGTACTGGTGTCTATGTAATGGTTTAATTGACTTCCCTTGACGAAGACTTCAGAAGGAATTAAAAGCAGGAATCCGGTTCTGCCAATTCAACCATCTTCAGCTCTTTTTGAAAAAATTGCTTCTTTAACCTGCTTAACAATTTCCTCTGTTACTTCATTATTCTCTGCCAGATAAGCTTCAGCTTCTTGCTTATGTATGAAGAATTTTCGCTCAATCCAGTACCCATCTCCTTTCCTTATTATTATCCCATGATCTAGAGCCATTGTTAAAATTTCAGCTTCTTGGCGAAAACCCCTGCCAAATTCTATCTCCAAATCAACCTTCTTCAAGGCGGGGGCCATTTTATTTTTAATTATCTCAATAGATACGCCAATTCCAGTAATCTGAACAAAGAAATCTAAAGGTTATAGATAAAATATAAAAACTATCTTCAATAAAGTATTCAAGTAAAATGTAGCGAAAAGTTGGAATTAAGATAAACAATATATGATTGAGTTTGGAAATCTTCGTTCTGCTGAGCACAAAATAGTAAAGTTGAGAATCTTCGATCAGATTTATTGAATAATTTGAACATTAATTACTTTTAGAATAAATATAACCAAATGCATGAGAAGTGTGTAAACATGCATAATTAATATTTTTTCTTTAAAAAGCGAATATCTAAAAGATAATATCTAAAAATTGTATTGATTACCAATAATACTTTCATTAACTTAAGCAACCAATAAAAAAAATCCATCCACCTATAGTTTTAATTAATTGCTTACAAAATAGCATATAAAATGGTCAAAAACTCCTGGTATTGTAAGGCTATAGAAAATGAAAGAGATAAAGCAGGAAAAATTGTAATCAAGTAGAAAGCATATTCCAAGAACTGAATTGAATAAAGCCTCAAACATCCATTTGTATAATCGAGGGGTAAGAATTAGGTGAATAACTCATAAAAACTTAATAATCAACAGTAAATTAAGCTGTGGGCTACAATTATCATCGTGGGGAAGAGGTGAAATACAGGACATCAAAATTGAATTTTTAGCATGCTTTACCACTACTGACATTGCAGAATAAATTAACAGAGTAAAAAATTTAGCATTATAATTAAAAAGTGCTACTGTTTTGACGAGTTCAAGATGAAATTATTAGCCAAAAAATTATAGCTGCATTCAACACAGAAGAATATTTTTCAGTGTACGACAGATTATTTTATGAAAATGTTATATTTTATTGTGGATAGCAGAAAGTGCATGCTGGTATAAATAATTATTCAGCAATGGGAAGAATGACCAATAAACTCTTTTGGTAGAATTTAGAAGGTATCCATAAGTTGGCATTCATATGCCCAATTAAAAAAAAACCTTTCATAATGACATCTGGTGCTAACCACATTCTAAAGAATAAACCCTTTGCTATGGCATGACAAAAATGACAAGCAGAAAGACTAAACAAACCCCGTTATACTATGGAAGAACTCCTTTGACAATGGTACCTCAAACATTTTTAAATGTTTTCTAAAACAAATCACATTGCTCAAAAAAATATAAAAATTAAAAAAAACAAACATATTTATTTCTTATTAACTGTTCTTTCAAAACAAAACAAAAAATTATCCCAAAAAAAAGAAGGAAAGGCCGACTAAACTCTTTTGGACAGGCAATATTTAATAGAGGCATTTACATACATACTGCACAACTCTTATGTATTTATATGTCTAGCACCTAAATATTTATATTTACTTTCATGACACCCAAATCTTTAACATCACATCAAAAAAACCAAAGTAACTATCTTTTAAAAGTGAAATTCACCTTCTCATGCATAGATTCATGAACCAAGATGTTATAAATGAAAAGATTAAATGTTGGATGTTAAATATGTAAATACATTAGAATTGTGTAGCAAGTATATAAATTTGCCTATTTAATATTTGACAGATCCCATTAAGAAATCCTTTCATACTGACATGAAGCATTAAACGCTTAATATAATAGGGAAGAATTCCCAAGGCAATGGAATGCTATAAAGGTGAGACTATATTGCCAAAATAGCCAGACTACTTCGTTAAAAAACTAATTTGAATGGTTCACATACCACAAAAAAAAAAAAACAAAGTAAACATAACGCTTCATATAATATATAGTTATTATAAAGTACTAAGAGGCACAAAGGAAATACATCACAGAAAAGGGACCACTCACCAGGTATGAACAAAGGGACTTAGCAAACCTTTGAAAGATAGAACAACCTTAAAAAGTGGAAATCACTTCACCTAAAAGTTTAACATCGAAGGCACCTAAGTTCAAATCTACTTTCATACATGTCTCCTCAAACACAACTCATTAGCCAGCCTGAATAAACAAAGTACAGCAACAGCGGGTTAAAATATGGAGGACAACATAGGCCCAAACCTTGGCTGCTTTTTGTTATCAAATTAAAAACTTCTATTAACCAGAATCAGTGATCTAACTGGAATCCATTTGTCGGAAGTAAATAATGTTTGAAACGAAAATTTATATGTATTATTGACTAAAAATCTGCACACACATTATAAAAGTAAAATGAATACAATATACTATAGCACAATGACATAATCCTACACCACAATATATATGGATTGCCTTTCTAAAATGAAATTTCAAACACTAACACTCACCCTCAAGCTTATGATAAAAAGGAAGGGAATACATCCAAGAGCAATCAAGCCTGTTACATAATAAACAAAAGGGAATACGTCCAAGAGTAAAATGTCAGCCGATTGCTTTGAACTAGAGATATGAAGACTGACAATCTTCTTAGAAAACACAACATCCCGAATAAAATGACAATCAACTTTAATATGTCTAGTTCTCTCATGAAACATAAGATTTTTAGAAATGTGGATGGCAGTATGATTATCACAATTTAGAATAATGGGCTAAGCTATGTAGCAGGAAAATAACTCATAAGAGTCTTTACCCATATCATTTCATATGGGCAGTCGATTATAGCTCTTTATTCAGCCTTGACACCAAATCTTGCTACAACTAGGTTAACACCGATATTATTGGCATATGACAATAGTTCCATATTCAAATGTTCACTTTTGTTATAAAACAGATCTCTAATAGGACACTTTTTATATACATAAGAAAGTGCAAAATAGCCTTCCAATGCTTCATTTTAGAGTTTGCATCTACTAGCTCATCAATTTTGATGGACAAATAGATCAACCCCCTACCAATCTTCAATACCTAGACAGATAATCTTGGTACGGGAGTGTCGTCAAAGCTGCAACCATGAAGACCGATCTCTTCAAGAAAATCAATAGCATATTTCCTTTGAGAAATTGAACACCGTTTTGATTTTTTTAATATCTTCAAAGAATAATTGAACACTACTATACATAAAAGTATGCGGACCAAAGAAAAGTATGCATGATTTTGCCAATCTTGAAAACCTATAATTGAGACAATAGAACGTTCAAAATAATCTTGTAGCCAAGTAAAACAACATAGTTAGAAGCTATTACTTTGAAAATTTGACGGCGGCGATGCTAATTAGAAGAGGCAAATCGATATGACAGTATTTGTCAAGAGAACTAACAAGAAATCGAAAGGCCACTAACCATAAGAGAAGGTTGATAAAATGAAATTTGATGTGCATACCAAAGGAGTAAAATCGCATCTTATTAAGAGATGAGTGAGAAGCCATGATTTATGTGAAGGAGCGTGAAAATACCTGAGTTTTAAAACAATAAAATGGGTGATTCATTTTATGTGTGGAGCCTGATTGGCAGGGAGAAGCGCCTAGAAACGGTGCAGTGGGAAAAGCCCCTGCTCATGGCAGCAGACATCTCATTGCCAAAGCAGGCACCCCAGCGATAGTGGGGCGCCTAAGTGCCCAGCCAAAGGTTCCTAAGCGAAAACCTCTTGCTAGTAGGGGTGCTTAGGCACCCAGAAGACTCGTTTACAACATTCCATAATAGAGCACTCGGAAACTTGCATCCAGGGTGGTTGCGTAGACACTCATAACCGATTTATGTAGTTTGAGACTTTAAGTTTCATGTTTCTTCATCGCAAGAGGTATGTAAGAATATTGTGCAGTGGTGTTGCAAGTTGGTAATGAATTTATGTGACTTCTCTTGTATAAAAGAGAAACAGAGGAATGTTCGTGAGTTTCAAGATACTAGAGAAGTTTGATTGTGGTGTAATCTAGACAATTTCTCCTCATTTCATAGAGAACTTCTTGGTGTGGTATGGCTCCGTGGGTTTTTCCTGTTATTGGATTTTTACATGTTAAATCGTAGTGTTTTTTATGTATTTTTCTAGAATTTTTTGTTTGGGTCATTTCCAAGTATTTTGTTCTGAATCTTTCGATTCGGTGTTCCACATTTATCTTAACCCCATTATAAGTAGTATCAGAGTAGGGCTTTCTGAAGATCTTTAATTAGAGTAGGAGCAATGACCGAAGAATCAAGGTACAAGATGAAAAAGTTCAATGATACAAACTTTGTGCTCTGGAAAATGCAGATTGAAAATTTACTACATCAAAAGAAATTGTATTTTTCACAAGAAGAAATCACCAACAAGTATGAATTGATGACTCTGAAAGAATGGGAAGTGTTTAATGGAACAGCTTTGTGTTTGGCCATATAAATGAGAAAGGTATAAGCTCATTACTTTCTAAGAACAAACTTCGTGGTGTAAAGCCTATAGAGTTAGCTTTTTGTGAAGATTCTCTCTACGGCAAAGGTTACTTTCTCCAAAATTGGGTCAAAAGTAAAATCTAAAATGTTGTAGTTAGTGCATATTGATGCATAGGGTCCTACGCCAGTTAAGTCTACTAGAGATTCTCAATAATTTGTCACTGTTATTGATGATCACACCAGAAATGTATAGATGTACTTCTTAAAATGCAAATTTTATGTGTTTGAGGAGCTTAAGAAGTGGAAACCCGTGATTGACAATGAGACAAACTTAAGGTTAATGTATCTCAGATCATATAATGGTGATGAATATCATGATCAAAGGTTCAAGAGTTATCGTACATAAAAAAAAATCAAGCATTCATTTATTGTTCTAAGGAAACCACAGCAAAATGGTATGGTTAATTGAATAAAAAAATCATCACAGAACGTGCCAGGAATATGAGATTGAATGCAAACTTGCCAAAACAATTCTGAACAGAAGCAGTGAACATTGCAGTCTATATGATCAATCCTGGTCGGTTAGTAACTTTGAATAAAGACTTACCCGAAAAAGCATGGAGCGGAAAATAAATAGATCTATCTCACATGAAGGTAATTGGTTTTTCATCATATATTCATGTTGATGCGGGATCTAAAAGTAAATTTGATTCAAAATTTGTCAAATGCACTTTCATTGAGTATGACTCGAATGAATTTGGGTACAAATATTGGAATTATCAAGTTAAAAACTTTATTAGGAGCAAAGATATGACTTTCAATCACTCAGAATTATCCCTCAGTCACTTTTGAAGACTCCTCCAAATATGTTGAGATAGGAGATACTGGTGATCAAAAAATAGATAAAGAATAGTTGTCCAATGTGGTGAAGCACCTAAAGTTCCTCAATGAAATGCTACTGAAGTCAAGAGGTCCGACTGAGATGCATGACCGACACAGATGTATTCTCCTTTGTACAAGATTTTGTTAATTGATGGTGATGAACCAAAGTGCAATAAAGAAGTGACTCAAGTTGAAGACTCAAAAGAGTGAAAATTTGTCATGGATGACAACATGCAGTTACTAAAATCAAGTCAAGCATGAGATTTGACAGAACTACCAGATGATGAAAAAAAAACGCACAAGCGAATCTACATGATGAAAGAAGAGTCAAATGATAGCAAACGCTACAAGACAAGACTTGTTGTGAAGAGGTTTCTACAAAAAAAAAGAGTAGACTACTCAAAGATATTTTCTCCAATAGTGAAAATGACATCTATCAAAGTTATGTTGAGCTTAATAACAGAGAAAAATTTACACTTGAAGCGGATGGATGTGAAGACTACTTTCTTGCATAGTAACTTAGAAAAAGAGTTGTATATGATGCAACCACAGGGATATAAAGTTCTAGAAAATGAAATTATGGTCTGCAAATTGAAGAAAAGTCTTTATAATTTGACGTAAGCTCCTAGACAGTGGTGCAGAAGTTTTGGCAGGTTTATGTTAGACAATTGATACATGAAGCTTCAAGCAGATTACTATTGCTTCATAAAAAATATTGATAATTGCTATTCCGTGTTTCTAATAAACGTGGACAGCATGTTGACCGCAGGAGAATATATGGAGAAGATAAGAGACTTCAAAGAGCAATTATCAATGGAGCTTGTTTTAGGTCGAACCCAAAAATTTTTCAGTATAAGAATTAACAAGAACAAAAGTGCAGGTACAATGAAGTTATCTAAGCATACTATATTGAGAAGGTCCTTCACGAGTTCAACATGAGTGAGTCAAAGTTGGTTTGCACCCTCATAGGTAATGCATTCAAGCTAAATATCACCAAAATCAGAAGCAGAGCAAGCACAAATGAAAAAAACTGCATGCTTCAGCGGTTCAAAGTTTGATATATGTGATGATATGTACAAAACTTACAGATGCAATGAGAGGGGATATTAATAACTATTCAGTGGTTCAAAGTTTGATATATTTTCTATTTTTACATGCAACCAATAAGACACTTCATTTCGGAGATGCAAGAACTAATCTATAGGTATATAAAGATTCAGACATGATATGGGATATTAATGATAGAAAAAACATAACAGGGCATGCCTTCACTTTAAAGAACACAGCAGTGAGTTGAGTTTCTAAGCTACAGAAGAATATTGCACTATAAACTACAAAAGTTGAGTATAATGCTATAACCAAGGCTATCAAGGAAATGATTTGGTTGTAGAGCTTTATTACTAAATTAAGCATTGAACAACAGATTGAAAAGTTTCATATTGAAAGTATGAATGTTATTCATCTTGCTAAGAACGTCATTTTTCATGTCCAGATGAAACACATTCGGCTAAAATATCACTTTATTTGTTCTCTTCTAGAAGATGATAGATTATCTTTGGAGAAGATGCATACAGCTTATAATCCTCAAGATATGTTGACTGAAGTGGTTTCAATTGAAAAATTAAACCTATGCTTAGACTCAATTGGAGTTCAAGAAGGTTGAGACTGTGGGTAAGTTACACTAATGTATACAAATATGAAGATTGTGTATTTTGGAGATGTGCTTGCAAATCGATCTCCAAGTGGGAGAGTGTTATGTGTGGAGCCTGATTGGCAAAGAGAAGCACACATGAACAATGCAGCGGGAGAGGCGCCCCTATGCCTGGCGGCAACCCAAAGCTAGAGAAGGCGTCCTAGCTTTAGTGGGGCAACTAGGCGCTCAACCAAAGGTTTACGGGCGAAAACCCATCGCCGATGGAGGCACCCAAAAGGCTCACTTCCAGCATTCTGGAACAAAGCATCTAGAAACTCGACGCCTAGGAGTTGAGCATACGTACCTGTAATATATTTATGCAATTCGAGACTTTAAATTTTGTGTTTCTTCACTGCGGGAGGTGCCTGCGAATAGTGTGTAGTGGCGCTGCAAATTGGTGTTGGATTTCTGTGAGTTCTCTTATGTGAAAGAGAAAGGAGATGAGCTTTCAAGAGTTCTAGGAGAGTAAAGAGACTTTAGTGTGGTGTAATCTATACAATATATCCTCATTTCATAGTGAATTTCTTAGTGTGGTGTGACTTCGCGATTTTTCATGTTCTTAGATTTATCCATGTTAAATCTTAGTGTGCTTTACGTATTTTTCTGCAATTACTAGTTTATGTGCTACTATTCAGGTAATTTTTTCTAAATCCCACAAATCAATGAGCAAGCTTTATGCATGTTTAAAGAGTTGGTATTTTAATAGAAAATACATGTGCAAGTCAATAAAAGTAGGCAATCCAAGGTCTAAAGACGAGTGAGGGGCAGATTAGTGATAGTGGGTGTGAAAGCAACAAGAGCCTTAGGTGCTATGGAAGACAAGAATCAAAGTAGCAAGTGTCAAATAAGAGCAGTGAACAAAACACAGATAGAAAGTATAGAAAATAAGTAATGGAAAAAAAAACTCTCAAGAATCTTATTCAATTATTTGTACAAGAGGATATGTATAAATACAACTCCCATGAAAAAATAGGAATACATAAAAAAAAAGGAAAAAATAATTAAGAGTCAGCGATCCCACAAAAAAGCTCGTGAATTGCAATCCAAAGGTCAGAGAAACATGTAACGGTACATAGCCTTGATCAGTATGCATTAAGTTTTTTCCTATACGAGAGTCGTAAACAATCAAATTCAATAATACAAAGCCTTGATTCGTGTCTTAGGCCTTGTTTGAAAGGACATCTAGCCTTCATTCCATTGCAAAAAACGGTTGAAAGAACATCCACTTTTGTTTCTTTAAATGTGTACGTCGCAAAGTTATTTTTTGCCATTTTTGAAACACACTGTAGGCCCTCCGTTCGACCATTTTGGATCGTTGTTACGATGTTTTGGAATGCAAAGGTCCAAAATATCCTGCAAATTGCCTCATCCTCCACGACTCCATCATCCATGTCCATCCATGACTCATCTCTGTCACCTCCGAGAGGTGGATGAAAAAAATGAACAAAGAAGAAATGTAGAAGCACTACGGCCTTTTTTTCTCCTCCCAAGCTTCTCCATTTAGAAACCATTGAGGAAGGTAACCTGTAACCTTTGTCTTTTTCCCCTTCTTCCTACCGCATTCGAGCGCTCTGCACTTTAGCTCTTACTAAATCCCATAAATCTGTGTTCCAAATTTCCAATAGGATTTAATGAATCCTAGATTCAAGGTAAAATGGAGGAAAATCGGATTTCAGATTCTGTAGCCTGCCGGAATTAAAATTTTTATTTTAAAATTCTTATTTTAACAGAAATATATGCTCACAAAGTTCATAGAGTTTGTCGTTGTCCTATCAAAAGCGACTCCCACTTGAACAGATTGGAGGAGGTCGTGCAGAAACTTGATAAAGTTTCAACTAAGTTCAGTACTTTCCTTCCTCTTCTAAAAATTACAAAGCAGGAGCAGCAGCTTTGCAACCATCGTGCAACTGGATCCTTCCTTGGATTTGTTTTCATTGGTCGAGGCAAGGATAAAACAGGTTTTCTAGAAGATGAGTTCATCGTCAGATAAGAACGGATCGCTCGCAAGTGGAGCTAGGCAACGGTGCATTAAGTCCAGCTGATAAAATGAGGTAGGGTTATTAGTCTTTTTATTTAAAGCCTTATAAATTATAGTCACGGGAAATTTTTATATTCAAACAATAATATTACTTAATCAAACTTAAATTTCTAACACAGTGTTTTCTAATGTTGTGTTTAAACGATTTTTCTGAAAGGTGAATCTCCCTCAAATAAGGCCTTAAATTCTTTTGTTGCCTGAGGGTCATAATTAAATAGATCCAAAAATACAAGGTATTGATCCGTGTGACTTAAGTTCTTTGCTATGATTGGAGCAAAAATTCAACAGGAAGCATGCCTACTCATGAGAAAGGGTTCAATGGATGGATTGTTTGTGGGATCAAGTACAAGGTGTCACCGCAAGCGTGGGATTGGTGGGAGGAGCCATATTCACAAGCCAGAAAAGTGGGCAGCCAGGGCTAACTTGGCTCATACCGTGTCAGAGGAGAATTTTTATATATAGTTTATTTGTGGGCCATTTATTTAAAATAGAAGAATGAGTACAACATGTCAAAATAAAATTAAGTTTACATTACTAAAATAAAATTTTCTGCACTAACAAATAACAAAATAATATTCGTTTACTTAATTTTCCCTTTTAAGAATATACCATATCCTGGCAATGTAGCAGTTCCTTTCTTGAAATTCTCATCCGAACAGCTGCATAGAATTTCAAGGCATTTCCACCGCAGGTTACTTCATTTGCCTCGCCAAAAATTTTGCCGGACTTCATTCTAACCTGGAAAAAATGATGCAACTAATTCATTTTAGAGAAACTAATAAATCTAGAAGCTTTATTATGAGAAAAACTAATATCAAATCGATGGAAATTAAATGGCAGTTAACAATATGACAGGCAAGAATATAAAAAGTATTAGTTGATAATTTATCAGAAGATGGAAAAAATTTTGAGAAAAAAAAAATGACATTACAGCTCATGATCAGCATATGAGAATATGGACTTTCCTTCTTATCCCTAAACCCTAGAAGAAGAAGATACCAAACCCTTGGAGAAGAATTTTAATAAAATTATTAGAGAATAAATAAGCGTTTTAAGATTATGATAACAATAAGGGACTTTTCCAGAAATACCTACAATCTAGACTTCACAAAAATCACATGCAATAAAACCAAATTTTCCTCAATAACAAATAAATAATATTCCCCAGACCAGTATCTAAAATCACCTAACCAATAATTTTCTAAAATAAATGCAAAAGCTACAATCATGATTCTGTAAACATTGCTAACATGCTCAAGAAATTGCAGTCACCTGATTAATAAAAATTACAAGAGCTTGGGATAGGCATAAAGAGTGCTGAATCTTGCGAAGTGCTTGAGTCATTAAACGTGATTGCATGTCGACAGATTTATAATCTATCAAACCAAGAAGTTCGCATTCAGGAACAAGAGCTGCTACCTAGCATATATGCAAGACAAATACAAGTTACAGATCGAAGTAAAAAATATTATGGCCGTATTAGAAAGCTAGGAATTTAAGTAAAAGAAAGAGGAATTTACATACATACCATGCAATTTGTATGTATTTATATATATAACACCTAAAGTTTAATATTTAAACTTTTGACATTTTGTGCCATAAATATATGCATGAAAAGGTGCAATCCACTTTTAAAAAGATCGTGATAGTGGTATTTTTTATATGTTGTTAAAATTTGAGTGATATGCATATATAGATATGATAGTTCAGGTGTTAGAAGTGTATATACATAATTATGTAGTATGTATGTAAATGTCCCAAAAAGAAATGTGAAACGAAGGATTCAAGATCAATCCATATGTTTTGGGGATTTCATTTCATTTCCTCAGCTTTTTCTCAATCCAAGCAATTTTTAATATAACTTAAAGAAAAACAGCCAATATAATTTACAAAGATATAGATAATAGAAAATATTATACCATACTCATTTGCATTAACTATAAATGAAAAAAAAAAAAACAATAGCAATGCAAGATGAACCAGTAAATTTGAGGTATGATGCACATGTACTATTAGTTCATGATAAGAGGAAATCTTCTCTAGGCCACATCCTCCATTCACAATTCATAAGCAGCAAAAAAACAGCAATAACATCAAAAAACTTTTAACCATGACTTAAAAACTTTGATAAAAAAATATAGGATTTTAAATTCTTAATGCAATTTCCTTGATAACTTTTACAAAAAACTGCTCAATAAATAAGGTTAAAAATAGGGCTGTCAATTTGGCTTGTTGTTTGTGAACAGCTCGTGTTCGGCTCGTTCGTTAAGCCTAACGAGCTGAACACGAACAAACTTTTAAGCTCGAAATGTAAACGAGCCGAACACGAACA